ATAATTAATGATAGTAATATAAATGATAATAATAATAATAATGATAGTAATATAAATAATTTAATAATAATAATAATGATAAACCAATAAATAATAATATAATAATAATAATAATAATAAAACCATGACACTGCACTCTTAAAGTTTGATCTAAAATTATGTGCATTATTAAATTTCACATTTCTGCTATATATAGACTAAAAAATAGTTCACAAAGTCTGTAAATTCAGTTTACCTTAGCAAGCCCTCATGAGTGGCTCATTGTCTTGCATACGCCCAGCAGTATCAATAAGAACTACATCGAAATCATTCTTGCGTGCAAATTCTATGGCATGGCGGGCAATCTCCGCAGCATCCTTACCGTAACCCTGAAAAGAATTGTATGCATATAATCCTAATTCTCGCATGAGCAGTGTTTACCCATGAAAAGCTATATTATATTACTGTATGCATATAATGTTGCTGTTATATAAAAATCCCATATGATTTGACAGGATATTCATGTCTTTTCTCCATAATTACAAAATTTGAAAGGTCATTTACAGATGATTTTGCAGACATTGTTTTCATGCTTCTGGTCTTCCATAAGCATTTAACAAAGTCTGATTATAGCAACCTGTTCATAAAGCTGGACCATTGTCCTGCCCTTGTGATTCTCAGGTGGGTGAAGAGCATTCAGGTGGTGCATGTGTGTGCGCAGTTGCTCAACAGCTCCAGCACGGAAGGTATCACAGGCAGCTATCAACACACGAAAATTGTTTTCAATCAGCCAGAATGAGATCTGAAAGAAAAATTCAAATATAATTGTATTCTATGTAACAAGAACAATTCATAGATATAACCTACATGCAGCAATGAACTTATCTACCTATTCCTATATATTCCATGTATACTGTATATATCTAAGTACAGGAATCCCTCTATGTCAAGAAACATAACTTACTAGTAGTGAGTATTTACTCTACCTTGGCTAAATTGGTGGACTTGCCAACACCATTCACACCACAAAAGGCCATTGTGTAAGGACGGCCACTGGTCTTTGCTTCTACTACATCACGAAGCACATCTAAACGACGTTTTGGGGTCAGCAGCTGCACTAAGGACTCCGTTAATGTATTGCGGACTGTAGTTGATACTCCTTCAAAAGTACCAACCACCTGTGGTAAAACAAAGTAGTTTGAATCTTAATAAAACGTAGTGCATCTAACTTTCAGTCCTATATCATATGCACATATACAGTATGTACAGTTGTAAAGCTTAAAAGTATATACTTTGCCCTCTAGTTTTTTGCCAACTGACTGGCAAAGCTTAGTAGCAATCTCTGAAGCCACATTTTTGCCAATAAGATGATCTTTAAGTTTTTCCAGAACTGGCTCAATGTCAGCCTCAGACAGAGTTTTGCCGCCCACCAGGCCACGGAACATGGAGAATACACCTCCACCTAAACGAGTCATGAATATAATCATATTAGTTAATAAATACTTAACTATTATCCTCTGCCTTACTTAAGAAGAAAAAAAAAGAAAATGAGAAAGAAATTTATACAGTATATGCACCATCAACTCATATATGTTTTTATAGACATAAATATAGATGTGGCAATAGCAGAGTTCTATTCATTACATTTACAAATTAAATAAATATTTATAAGAAAGGTAAAATAACATAGTAAAGTCAATGTATATCATCTTCAAGTTTGACTGAAGATGAGGTGGAACTTTTTTGTAATAATCATATATATGTAACATACTATAATATATATCAAAATGCAGTAAGTAAATAAGTAAATAAGTAAATAAGTAAGTAAGTAAATAAGTGAGTAAGTGAGAGAGAGAGAAAAAAGAACAATAACACAATTTACTGTTGTTTCTCTAATCACCTGATTGGACTGGTTAGTACTTACCACTAGATTTTTTATCATTGGATTCCTTTTCGTTTTGAACATCCATTCCCCTAAGGTTTCCGGACAGTGTTCCAATCTGGAAACAATTTCAATCACTTTGGTATGTGTGTAAGAGAAAACTATCAATAAACTTATCATACAGAGCAACAGTGGACAAAGGCTAAAAATATATAACAAGTACCATTAATTCCATAGCCATACCTGAGATTGGTCCGGAAGGAAATCAGGGGCGCAAGGATGACTGAGTTCCTGCTCCCGAATCATTCCTGGATGAGTAATCGAGGCTCTTGGAATCACGTCCTGATAAGTCCCACACACGATTTTCTTTGCCCTGGAATAACACTTCAGGATAACAATCCACTAACTTTTATCTTTGAGATGTAAATGTTTTCAAACTGAATGGAAGAACCATCATTCATATCAGAGAGAGAAGAAAAAATAGGTACCTTTTTAGCAGGCTTTGGACTCTTTGTCTTTTCAACCTTAGAGGCTTTCGGAGTACCTCGTTTCTTATTTGCAAGTTTTTCAAGGTTCTTGCGAATTGTTTCTTCATTCAAATCATCATGAATTTCTTCTACTTCTTCTTCCTTTGGAGATAATTTAAGAATTAAAAATATTAATATACAATGACAATCCAGCAAGTCAAAAACTAATTTTCCAAACCCATCAAGCAACATCTCATTAAAACATTATAAGATTTAAATTTTTCTACGTCATATTTGTAAAATAAATTAAGCAACTGATTAATCCACAAACAACGGTAGCAAGAGCTAAATGAATATCTACCTCATTACCAACACCATTTTCATTAATGGTGATCTCCTCTTCTTCCTCCTCTTCCTCCACTTCTTCTACTTCCTCAACGCGATTTTCTTTACCTGAGTACACAGAAGTTTGACAATATTGGCAAAAATGATGCATATGTATAAGGTATATGTAAATATCATACAATTCATTCATTCATTGATAACATTCTACTGCTTGGTCATGAAAAACTGGTAGCCATCATTTTGTATTTCATATGAACAGTAATTAACTTGTATAAATTTTTAAAGCAGTTCTTGAATTGAAAATGCTAAAGAGAGAGAGAAAAAAGTGTGCTTTTCTTTAATTTTGATTTTGATTTATAGCTTCTTAACTCCACTACTTTACACTTGTTACAGTGCATGTGCATGCATAAATGCAAAAAGCAAAGATATGGTTTCACAATTTCAAAATTAAAGAAAGCACACTTTTTTCTCTCTCTCTTTAGCATTTTCAATTTCAAGAACTGCTTTAAAAATTTATAACAAGTTAATTACTGTTCATATGAAATACAAAATGATGGCTACCAGTTTTTTCATGACCAAGCAGTAGAATGTTATCAATGAATGAATGAATTGTATGATATTTACATATACCTTATACATATGCATCATTTTTGCCAATATTGTCAAACTTCTGTGTACTCAGGTAAAGAAAATCGCGTTGAGGAAGTAGAAGAAGTGGAGGAAGAGGAGGAAGAAGAGGAGATCACCATTAATGAAAATGGTGTTGGTAATGAGGTAGATATTCATTTAGCTCTTGCTACCGTTGTTTGTGGATTAATCAGTTGCTTAATTTATTTTACAAATATGACGTAGAAAAATTTAAATCTTATAATGTTTTAATGAGATGTTGCTTGATGGGTTTGGAAAATTAGTTTTTGACTTGCTGGATTGTCATTGTATATTAATATTTTTAATTCTTAAATTATCTCCAAAGGAAGAAGAAGTAGAAGAAATTCATGACGATTTGAATGAAGAAACAATTCGCAAGAACCTTGAAAAACTTGCAAATAAGAAACGAGGTACTCCGAAAGCCTCTAAGGTTGAAAAGACAAAGAGTCCAAAGCCTGCTAAAAAGGTACCTATTTTTTTCTTTCTCTCTGATATGAATGATGGTTCTTCCATTCAGTTTGAAAACCATTTACATCTCAAAGATAAAAGTTAGTGGATTGTTATCCTGAAGTGTTATTCCAGGGCAAAGAAAATCGTGTGTGGGACTTATCAGGACGTGATTCCAAGAGCCTCGATTACTCATCCAGGAATGATTCGGGAGCAGGAACTCAGTCATCCTTGCGCCCTGATTTCCTTCCGGACCAATCTCAGGTATGGCTATGGAATTAATGGTACTTGTTATATATTTTTAGCCTTTGTCCACTGTTGCTCTGTATGATAAGTTTATTGATAGTTTTCTCTTACACACATACCAAAGTGATTGAAATTGTTTCCAGATTGGAACACTGTCCGGAAACCTTAGGGGAATGGATGTTCAAAACGAAAAGGAATCCAATGATAAAAAATCTAGTGGTAAGTACTAACCAGTCCAATCAGGTGATTAGAGAAACAACAGTAATTGTGTTATTGTTCTTTTTTCTCTCTCTCTCACTTACTCACTTATTTACTTACTTACTTATTTACTTATTTACTTATTTACTTACTGCATTTTGATATATATTATAGTATGTTACATATATATGATTATTACAAAAAAGTTCCACCTCATCTTCAGTCAAACTTGAAGATGATATACATTGACTTTACTATGTTATTTTACCTTTCTTATAAATATTTATTTAATTTGTAAATGTAATGAATAGAACTCTGCTATTGCCACATCTATATTTATGTCTATAAAAACATATATGAGTTGATGGTGCATATACTGTATAAATTTCTTTCTCATTTTCTTTTTTTTTCTTCTTAAGTAAGGCAGAGGATAATAGTTAAGTATTTATTAACTAATATGATTATATTTCATGACTCGTTTAGGTGGAGGTGTATTCTCCATGTTCCGTGGCCTGGTGGGCGGCAAAAACTCTGTCTGAGGCTGACATTGAGCCAGTTCTGGAAAAACTTAAAGATCATCTTATTGGCAAAAATGTGGCTTCAGAGATTGCTACTAAGCTTTGCCAGTCAGTTGGCAAAAAACTAGAGGGCAAAGTATATACTTTTAAGCTTTACAACTGTACATACTGTATATGTGCATATGATATAGGACTGAAAGTTAGATGCACTACGTTTTATTAAGATTCAAACTACTTTGTTTTACCACAGGTGGTTGGTACTTTTGAAGG